GTGTTCTTCCCTTTTGGTTATCCAACTCTAAATCATTGCATATTTTATTATAGTATTTGGTTTTATCTTCTAAAGCTGATCTTCGAAATTATCTGTTCAGCTCTTGGACCTCTTCAATTTTGCCATTTGCTTTAGCTTCTCTACGCTGGAAAGCAAGTTTCAGAGTCTCCTCTGACATCCATTTTGACATTTGTAGGTAGACAATGATAACCGTACTAGAGCAAATAAAGCAAAAACATTAGCAATTATAGACTCTATTGGTGTTCTATTGGAGTCACTGTATATAATTCTTTCATCTTTTTTGTATGACTGAAATTTTTAACTGTAACATGTTGGGAAAAAATTAAGACAAATCAGGATGCAGAAGAATATTTAAAAATAATAAAAACATGTTTCATAAATATTAACAATTCGCCTTTTGGTGCTGTAGGACAAGCACTGGATGGTTTGAACCAAAAGGTCAGCAGTCTAAATCCTTCAGCCACTCCTTGGAAACTCTATACAGGGTCGCTATGAGTTGGAACTGACTTGACAGTACTTAACAACAACAACAATCTAATATCAAATGTGACTATCTTCCAAAGAACAAGAGTTAGAACATAAAACATTTTAAAAGACATACCCGAATTTCTTGAAGGTTGTGAAAATTATTTCCTACTCTGACGGAGATCTTGCTTGGTGTATAGCTTTCATCAGATTTGTAGTCTGCATAAATGCATAATGTCTTCACTGTTGTTTTTCTTCTGAAAATAAGAAATTTGAAACAACACACCATTTAGCATATGGAAAATTTATTTCTAAAACATCATACCTTCTAATTTTAAAAATCATAATTTGTTAAATGAGTATGTGAATCAATTTCCATTTCCTTTCCTTTCAGAAACGATAAAAATGAAGAAATGTGAAAACAACAGATACAGATACAATAATATTTTACTTATAGACATCTCTTTTCATGGCTAAGAACCAGATATAAACAAAAAAAGGAATTGTTCAGTCATAATAGGTTCCTTCTTAGAATGTAAACAAGCTTAAGGATTTCAGTTCTTTACATTTCTATTGGTGTGGCACTACAGTAAAATGCGTTGGACTGCAAAGTCACTTTGAACTACAAGGTCGGCAGTTCATATCCATCAGCTACTCCTCAGAAACCCTATACAGGATTGCTATGGGTCAAAACCAACTTGATGGAAAAAAGGGAGTGTGGTGGCTCCATACAATAAACACTGGACTGCTAACCATAAGGTTATGTTGTTTTTGTTGTTCAGTGCCATCAACTCAGTTCTGAATCACAGCGGCCCTGTAAAGGGTTTCTAAGGAGCAGCTGGTGAGCTGGAACCACTTACCTAGCAGTTCAAACTGACTTTACAGTCCAGCGCATTAACCCACAGCACTACACCAGGACTCCACACTTCATTTGTTGCTCTTGTTAGGTG